AAGTCTATAGCCTTTCTAAATACCAATAACCAGCAATCAGAGAAAGAGCACATGGAAACACTCCCGTTCAAAATAGCTGCAAAAAATAAATAAATAAATAAAACATCTCAGAGTAAACCTGACCAAAGACATTAAAGAGCTCTACAATGAAAATTTTAACTCTTTAAAGAAAGAAATTGAGGAAGACATCAGAAGATGGAAGGACCTCCCATGCTCATGGATTGGGAGAATTAATATTGTGAAAATGACCATCCTACCAAAAGTCATTTATAGATTCAATGCAATGCCAATCAAACTCCCCATGACATTTTTCACAGAATTGGAAAATTCTATCCTAAGATTCATATGGAAGCACAAAAGACCTCGGATAGCCAAAACAACCCCGAGCACTAAGAACAATGCCGCGGGGATTACTATACCATTTTTCAAGCTGTATTACAAGAGCTATAGTCATAAACACAACATGGTACTGGCACCAATGGAACAAAATTGAAGACCCAAATATGAGCAAATGCAGTTTCAGCCACCTGATATTTGACAAAGGGGCCAAGAACATTAACTGGAGGAAAGACACCATGTTCAGCAAATGGTGCTGGCAAAACTGGATCTCTACTTGTAGAAGAATGAAACTAAACCCCTGTCTTTCACCCTGCTTAACCCCTATCTTTCACCCTGCACAAAAGTCAATTCCAAATGGCTCAAAGACCTCAATGTAAAGTCTGAAACTCTGAAACTCTTAGAAGAAAACGTTGGGAAAAACCTACAAGATATAGGTGTAGGAAAGGACTTTCTAAACCGGACACCAATAGCCCAGGAAACAAGGGCAAGAATTAACAAGTGGGACCTCATTAAACTAAAAAGCTTCTGTACGTCAAAGGAGACAACCAAGGAAACAAACAGAAAACCCACAGAATGGGAGAAAATCTTCACCAGCGATACATCTGATAGAGGTTTAATTACCAGAATATATAATGAACTTAAAAAACAGAGACCCAAAACAAGAAGCAACCCAATTGAAAGATGGGCTAAGGAGCTGAACAGAGAGTTCTCAAAAGAAGAAGTAAAGATGGCTATGAAACATCTTAAAAGATGTTCAACATCACTAATAATTAGGGAAATGCAAATTAACCACTTTAAGATTTCACCTTACCCCAGTCAGACTGGCTAAGATCAAGAAAATAAATGATACTAAATGTTAGAGAGGATGTGGGAAAGGGGAACACTCAACCAGGGACAGCAGTATTGAAAATATTTGGATCAAAATAACTTAAAAAGGAGGCAGAAGGACTCAACATCCTGCTGCAGAGATACTTGATCAGTCAAGTCTGTTGCAGCTCTTTTCACAATAGGTAAGAGATGGAAGCAACCTAAGTGTCCCTCAATTGACGAGTGGATAATGAAAATGTGGCTCATTTATACACTGGAGTTTTACTCATCAGTAAGGAAGATGAAATCATGAAATTTGTAGGTAAATTAATGGAACTAGAAACTGATATACTAAGTGAAGTAACATACACTCAGAAAAAAAATCGACACGTTCTCCCTCATATGTGGATCCTAGAACCAAACCCAGATAAGTGTGTATGTATCCAGACATAACTACAGGAACCAGGATAATGTAAAGGAAACATGGAGGTAAAGGAAAAGAAATAACCTGAAAGAGAAGAACAGTAAGAAACGGGCCTCAATAAGAGAGATATGGATAAAAAAACAGTAGGAAACGGGCCTTAATAAGGGAGATATGGATAAAAATTGGGTTAGCTTGGGGGGGGTATACAAGGAACCTAGGGGATAAACGGAAAGAAGGAGCTCAAGAGAGGTAGGACCACAGGAGAAGAGTACTGGGGAGAAAGGGGGGAAATGGGGGTACCTTAAATGGGAAAACCATGATGGAGGGGTGAGACAATGCGAAAGATAAACAATGCCTAGGTAGTTTTGAAAACCAGAGGGAACCATATTACTCCTACAACCTACTGACAAATTATACATAGCAGATCAAGAAATATATGTCTAGGTAAGGTTTATCTGAGATCAACTGATCTTTGCCCAAGATATATCTACATGACACACAGTAATTAAAAATACCAGACTGGTGGAACTAACCTTGGGTGTTTAACAGGTTTACTTTGAGGTTTATAATAATTTGGTCAGAGGGACATAAAGGACACTTTTTGCTCCTTGCCCTCCTAGGTTGACTAGTTCCAGGGGACTATGAGCATCTCTCAAAACGTCCCATAATGGTGGTGGGTCACGTGTTCTTTTGATCAAGGAGGCCGAGGACACCCCACCAGATGTACTTGAACCAGTGTCCAGTCTACTAAAAGGAGGGTCAATACAGAGGAATCATTTCCTCCATGCCCCCAAGTGAAGCCAACCATGGTCGAGCAGGACCTTATTCTTATCGTCACATAGGTGGAACTGGTAAAAGAAAGGATCCAGGGGCTCCTCCCAAGCCCATGTAACCTCTGAGGAACAGATCCTCAAACAACCTTAAGAGTAAAAATAAATCAGTTTTATCTGGACCACCTGTATGGCCTTAAACACCCAAAAGGAAAGTATAACCAAAGATTAAATGGGCCACATAATTTCATAAGAGTCCATATGTATAGCTAAAGGCTGCATAACAAGCAACAATGCCAGATAAACAATACCTTCTTTTGAGTTGATGGCCAGGGTGGCCAAAGAGATTCCCAGATAGTAACGCAGAATAGAACTGGGAAAATGAACAGCAGACCCCAATCTTATCCAAAGGAATATAGACAAGTGATTACCGCTAAATGAAGAACAGCTGACCCTCCTAAAACAAAGACTTCTAGATAGGCTGACTAGATTCACCAGAAGGGCAGGTAGTGGGGAATGGCTGGGGGTGCCGACAACACAGTAGGCAGTAGCAGGGCTATCAGAGTATAAGGGCTCTAGTGGGGGGAGGGAGGCTATGGGAGAGTGCTATCTGGGAAGTGGATGTTAAAAAATTAAAAAATAATAATTCTTCAAAGCATAAAAATTTGCTCCTTAATAATTAGTAGATGTGAAAAACATTATCATTGAAATCTACCTGAAGACTTTATATCCATGCTCAGATGCCAAGGAGCTCAGAATGTAACCGATTGTGACTAATAATAATCAGATATATAGAGATTAGTGTCAATCGTGTGTCACTTGTATTAAAAACGAATTTTTCTGTATGAAACTGTATTTTAATAATGAAATGGAGATCTTTTTTAAAGGTTAAAACGTCATTTAATTTATGTCTTATAGGGTTTATACTGAGTACAATATTGTATAACTGTAATAATTCAACTGTAAACCTAAAAATTTACAGCCCATTTTGAAAGAGATGCATCTTAGCTCTGGAAATTGTTATTGAACATGTCAATGCTGTTGTAATGAAATGCTTCTTCTAATTATATGGTTATTAAATAAATAACTTTTTAAAATTATCAATAAATTATTTTTTAAATAATAAAAATAAAATAAAACTGAGATTTCTTTAAGGAGAAATTCTGGCTCAAGATTGCAACATTAGCACCTGCTCAGAAATTTGCAATCTGCCAGTCCACCCCTCAGATTGGAAATTACCAGTAGGATACACACACACACACACACACACACAACTATTTTTAAAAATCTTGAAAAGGGGTTGGAGAGATGGCTCAGCAGTTAAGAACACTGACTGCTCTTGAAGATGATACAGATTTGATGCCCAGCACCCACATAGCAGCTAACAACTATCCGAAACTCCAGGATATTCAATGCCCTCTTCTGACCTCTGTGGGCATTGCATGACACAAATGCACTTACACACATGCAGGCAATGCACTCATACACCTAAAATAAAAAACAAAATATTTTTTAAATCTTGAAGAATAAATTAACTTCAATTTTCTGTACTTTCTTTTTATGAGAATAGATACTAGAACTTGTTTTAAGGATTTAAATGCACTCCCTTTATTGTACTACATTAAAATTATTTCAATATTCATCATCAGACTTTTATATTATTTTATAATTTCTTTGGTTTTATTCCTAGTCTTGATATTTTAATTTAGTTTACTCTGTATTTCTTAACCCACTCTTGCATTTTTGTCGGTTTTCTCAAGTAAAAATTTTATTCTTTTCATCTATATGTATGGAATCTTATCCGGATCTAATTCTTCATATAATTTTTATAATCCTTGTCTCACTGAATATTTACAGATGTTACATCACCACCTTTTCCCATTTAATGATACAGATGAGGATTCTTAAGCAGACAAGCTTTATATCCCTGTTTTACTTTTTGTGTTCTATTTTTCCCTTGTGGCATGACCATCATTTAATATAGGAATCATTATTCCTAATGTTCATCTCCTCAAATTAAGTATGAATTCTCTGGGTTTTCTATGTTAGAGTTGTTATTATCCTTTCTGTTGCAGATGTTTTGGCTTCTTAATAACAATTACCTACATGTAGCTTTCTATTTTCTGATTTTTACTCCTAGTATCATATTGTCCATTATTTTTTATTTCTAATTTTTGTCTTCTGAGTCTGAGAAGACCTCCACTAGTTGGTTCTTCATGTAATCTCTTCAGTTGAGGCAGTGGTAACTGGCTCCTTTTAATAATGCATTAACTTTTATAAAATTTTTCAAATGTTTATTTCACTAGTTTTATTTGTGTCAGTATCTTTACCTGCTAGCTTTTCAATCCAGACTATTATATTTTCAACTCATACTTCATCTGTTATGACAAAAATTAATATTTTTAGACTTTATTGATAATAAACATGTATTTACTTAAAAAGTATTCTTGGTATAAATTATGTCCTTCCCCTACATTTTACATGTTTTTTTCTCTTGCTATGTTATATAGGTTTTAAATTGTTCCTCAAATCCCCTTACATTTTCATTTAACCTCGAATTATGCTGCTTAATAAAAAATTGAATTTCATATTACAATGAAAAGTCCCAGAGAAGCAAACAAAACTGAAATAACAAACTTCATAACTCACTCCTTCCTTACCTCTCATTTCCTGGTGCAATATCAGCTCCAAGACGTACCCAGGATTTCTTAGGGTAAGCACTGTGAAGTTGAACTTTGCCATAAACTCCTGAAAAATTAAAGAATCAGCAAATGGCTAGGAAAATATTTCAGTCTTAAATAAGGTCAGAGAAGTAAACTCATTTCAAAGTTTATTACATAAAATATGTGATATATAGTCCATAGCCAAACAGTCCGTGTTATCAACCCAAAAAGAATTTTTGAGTATTTTACATTGTCAAATATAACTCAAAGGGGTACAATAGGCATTCTCTGACAATATATAGAGAAATGAAAACTATAGCACATTATAATAATCTAAAAGCTGGGAAACAGACCATTCTAATGGCTAACTAGTTAAATTGGAAGAGACATTTTCTTCCACCATTAAGTGATTTAAGACCATTTGCAATTCGGTTGGAAGTCAAATTGTTCTATTTTATGTTTTACACTAGATTCTCCTAGAGGCAAGGCTAATTTTATTTTAGGATGATGGGGTTTCACTGCTGTTAGCCTTGTTTCCATTGTTTGGATTTAATAGTGTACCTTATTACAGATATCAAGGGAAAGATGTTCAGACCTTTTGTTTCAAAATATAACTTATTTCCAATTTACAAATTAAAGTCTTACCAGGGACATCCTTGATGCAACCTAAATCTATTCCTTCAGGTTGTTCAAGCTTTTCCACTCACACATTTCATCACTATTTTCAATAATATTAATTCTTCATATTCCAGATCTGTGACTATCAACTCCAGTAATAGAAAAAAGTAATCATGTATTTCCATACATGTATATTTACACCTATATAATATTATTTTATATTAATAAATATGCATGCATATAAATGCATGTATGTACATATATGCACATGCATCATATGTCTGCTGGGTGCACATGGAGGCCAGAATAGGGTACCCAACCTCCTGGAACTGGAGTTTTAGATGGTAGTGAGCATTCATATGGGTGCTGGGAACCAAATCCAGGTCCTCTACAAAAGGAGTTACTCTTAACTGCTGAATCATCTCTCTAGCCCCTAACTTAACAATCTAAATATTTGTAATCATAAAAAAAATAAATAAAAGAAGTATATATCATAGGGATGGCACCAAAATGCCTTGAATTTTCATTCAGTGTGTCCCAAAACAGTAAATCCTCGATTATTTAGATGTTAATCAACTGCTTATACCAATATCTATAATTTTTTATACTCCAATTCATAAAGATAAGCTAAAAGATAAAGCTAAAATAATGATTAGTATTTGTAAGAATTTCATCTTCAAGATTTGTCCCAGAACCAACCCCTTAAAACACAGTTTCACAAATGTATTTCATAAAGTAGCATATCATTGAAAATAAAAACATCTTTATTCACCATAGGCTAAGTAAGCAAGGCAGAAAGGATCCTTGAATAATTTAGAGAGATTACCAAAAACAAAGTTTATAACAAAAAACAGTTCATGTCTTTAATTTTGAATTATTCAGAAAATTCAATTGACCAGAAAAACAGATTTCTTGGTCATTCCAATCATCAAAGATCTGCTGTAAAATTATATAACTTCTTAGCTGTTTCAGGAAGATAACAAAAGATTTGAAAGGATTCCGGTCTGTCATTTGCTTATGGTATCATAAAAATTAAACTTGCATTGAAACGGACACTTTTTATTTCAATTTGGTGTCAGTGAAAAATTTTAAGACATTAATTGGAGCATATGGCTGGAGTCAGGGTCACACACAGTGGTGTGTACTTCTACCTGGAAGCTTTATCCAATGTGATTACTCCATAAAACAAAGAAAACAAATGATCTTTTAATAAACCTCTTCTTTTAAAGACAAGTCAAGGCCCATATGGAATTATGTTTAAATTGTATCACAGTTTTAAGAAAGAATTAGCATTAATGTTTTTCAAACTATTTCATAAAATAGGGGACGGCACACTGACAATCTTCTAAAAAGTAAGAATTACTCTGATTCCAAAGGCAGATAAAGACACAGACACATACGCAAAGAATTTATAGGTTAATCTGACTGGTGAACGTAGATGCAAAATTTCTCAGCAAAATACTTGCAAACAGAATTCAAGAATATATCAACAAGATTATTCACCATAATCAAGTTGGCTTCCTTCTAGAGGTACAGGTATGGTTCAACTTACACGCCTGTTTTGTAACACAGTATATAAATGATTCCAAGACAGAAATAACATGATTATCTCAACAGGTACACAAAAGACTTTTGACAAAATCCAACATCACTTCCTAACAAAAGCACTAGTGAAGCAAGGAACTGAAGGAACATTTCTCTACATGATGTAGCCTACACAGAACAAACTGTAGTCACCATTAGGCTAAATGGAGAAAATGGAAAGCATTTCCACTAAAATTAGTAACAAAACATGATGTCTACTTCACTTTTATTCAGCACAGTGTTTGAAATCTTAGCTAGAGAAATAAGACAAGATAGGAAAATAAAAGGACTATAAATAGGAAATATGGAGTTTATGGTCCATTTGTTAATTTATACAAAACGGACACCTGGCACCTTTTCTTCTTCTATTTTTCCTTTTTTAAATTGAAGTTTTGCAGATTTCATACAATATATTTTATCATATTTAGAATGCCTCCCCAACTGCATCCCCTTTCTAGAGCTCCCCTGCCTGATTTTATGCACTCTGTCATACAAACTAAGGCCCACTGAGTCAGGTAATAATCCATTTCTGTCAACTTGGAAAAATTCAAAAAATCTACATCATGCCATTGTAGCAACAAAATAAATAGCATGTATGAGAAAAACCTTTGAAACTATAAAGCACTGTCAATGCATTTATTAAACATTTTGGAGCTAATTTAATAAACATCATACTACCTGAAATCATCCAACAGAGCTGTACATCTAAAGGAAACCCTTATGAAATCAGTATCCTAGATGAAAGCAACATATCTAGTCTACCTAACAACACAACATTTAAATCACAATAACAAATCACCAGGAACTGACCCATTTCCTTAGAGAATAGTCATCTGTGGGGAAAGGAAGAAAATAAGTAAAAGAAATCCAGTTTTGAAAAAGAACATTCTTAAGAGAAATTACTTCAAACAAAGATTTCTCACTCCTAAAAGATTACTAACACCTACACAGAGCCTGTGAAAAATAGTTGAACTCTAATGGACATCTTTTCCTTTAACCTCAGTGATTTCAGAGCTCCTCTATCATGGTGTGTAAGACACTGCAGTCTCCATGTTCTCAGGAAGACAGGTTTAGGATTTGATGCTATGATACTATGGCAATAGAAGATGAACAAACTGTAAACAGTGAATGTTACTTACAAATGTACACATTTACCACTTTAAAACATATCCATAATCACATGAGATTGCTATTGATAATATAGTTTCTTAATCCATGTCTTAATGCCTGATC